ACATGGTCTACCCAATGGTGATACTGCTGTAAAACTGGGCTTTTCTAATTTTACTGGTTACATAAATTGTCTTTACCTGTTTATATCCCAACACAAACTTCCAGGCACAAACTTCCAGACTATAAAACCCTCATCTGCTATTAAACAGCAACAGGTTATTGAAAATGAGAGATTTATATAGTTCACTGATGAAAATAAGAAAGCTGTAAGAGCTGTCAAATGAACGAATGTGTATTCACTCATACATTCACTCCTTTATTGCGCATTAATGACCACATACAAAATTAATTTAATGGCTCTCCATCTCATTTCCCACATCAACAATTCACAGTTTTGGACTTGGATTAATTGGCAGATGCAATGGAGCAGCCAAGTTTGTGGCTTATTATGTCTGARCTTGGCTTGGCTGGAGTGTAATGCAGTTCAAGGCAATGCATGTCTGCCAGATATTGTGTTTGAGAAGTCTGTTCTGCCTTTTCCTGTGCATAAACAGTCAACTTCCGTTGCCACACATTTCCCAGAAATTCTGGAATGTCTTATCGCATTCTTTTAAGACTGATTTCCTCCCATTTCTACCTGTTCTCAAAGTTTTATTTTGCCATTGCTTGTATGTTATGGCTGGTGGCTTCTTTCATCTTGTTTTTTTTAATGTGCTTCTGCTGTGTGAGCTCATTTCTATATACTGAAATTCATATTAGTTATTTTGTATATTCTCTACAGGTAAAAATTAATCCATTGAGGTCTCTACTCTATTAAATGTGTTATTCCAGTTTACRCTTAACCCTTTTATAAATTGCGGGTACAATTGTTCTGTTTTTCTTGGGTATGAAGAAACTTGATGTTCATATGTTTTAACAACTTGAGACTTACTTCAGTAGAAGCTCTTTGAGGTGTCCATTAGACCCCATTAATATGTGAAAATATATAGTGAATTYTGGAGAAATTATAATAATAATCAAAGTATTTTCTCTGAAAAAGTAGTGAATTACATATTCCTCCTATTGTTTCATATTTGCACTTTGTTTCTTCATTTGATCTTATCCTTCCTTACTGTTTGCTATAAATTGTTTTTTCTGTTTTTTTTTACTCTCCGGATTAGGCAGTTATTCCCTTTTAGGCACACAGCCCAGTTCTTAGCAGAGACACCTTTTTAAAGACTTTGTGTATCTCAGCTCTCACTACGTTTGTTAGATATCCTACAATTTTTGGCTGCAAGTTGTTTGCTGCCCTCACAGGCCTTTCCAGATTGTTTAGCTCTGCTAACTCCTTCCCAGGATACTGAGATCTGCCAAGCTGAACATGTCTTCCAGCACTGAGGGCTGTTCTCTATTCTACCTAATAGATGTCTATCAAATAAAGTACTATAATGCAAAGTACTTACAAAGCAGTGCTAAACAAAGTAAAGGGCAAACAAATCAGAGATTTGGAAATAACCTGAGACAACTATGCAGGCAAGGACAGGAATGTAGGAGGTGAAATACTGCACATTTGGAGATTTGAAGATGGTGAACAAATGGATTTTGAACTTGAACTTCGCCCAGCATATTTGAGTCAGAGTAATGAAAAGGATGTCAGAAAATGGAAAAATACATTTCATGCTAGAACTAGTAACTATGTATTTATTTCCTACAGTACTTGAGGAATGTTGGTGTTTCCACAACAAAATCTGCCGCAAATCCTTTTTCCTCTTGAATTTTTTTTCTGCATCAATTTCTATATCATTGCATTAATAGTCTTCCTCTTACTCCAGCTGTGCAGACAGTGCTGGGTGAGCTGGAGTCACTGCCTCAGTGTCACTGCCCAGCAACTAAGACTATTTTATGCTCATTCACCTTCTTTTTCAGATTCAAACTTATTCCAAAAAATGCATCTCCACTAAAGATCTATTTTACACCCTACCACAGTTAAGCACTGAGTATTTTCATGCATGGATGGCTTGCTAAAAATTTCTTATGGAAGTGTGCAGATAACAATGTTTTTTGTCAATATCATGATGTTCCACGGTGAGTCCAAAGGCAACATAAAGGTTTTATCTTGAAATAGGTTCTCACAGTAGCCATTAAAGCAAATCAATTATCACAAACGTAAATTAGTTTGTACAGGAAACAAGATAAAGCAGAAAGCCCAATGGAGATTTGTAACATGGCTGTTGTGATTCTGAGAAAACRCACACCTCCCCTTTAGTTTTGTTATTCAAAGGAATAAATAGCCATCACCTCAAACTGCAGGAATGCCTCTCTGTGTTACAGAAGGAATCAAGGGCTCTAGTAGAAACCAATCATTGTTGATACAAACAGAAAAAATAGCATTTATTAGTAAAAAAAGAGAAAGAATAGTTATGATTAATGACTTCTGTTTGCTCAAGCAGTTTTGATTTATATAGCAATTTCATACCTTATTATTATGTATTCTTTCATGTGGTGCATAAATTTGCAAATACTCAATGGTAAATGTAATGCCTCTCTGTCCAGTGCTCACATTTCCCACTGACACACTTGGAGGTGTTGACTGGCCATTTTGGTTGTAACATTCTGTTAAAGGAAATATTTGATATAATGCTCTGAAATTCTAATTTTTTCTGTGTGTTTCATGACTAACCACAGACCAGGAAATGCTAAGTGACACAGTTGGATCRCCATGATTACATGATACATGTACATCTGCACCAATAACTGTGTTAGACGACGTTTTATTGTGATTGCTGACACTGCCAATCATAGTCACAGCAATAAGATTATTATTGTTTTTCCAGTCAGCCCTCCAAGTTGAAGCTTGGATAATGCAAAATCACACTTGAAGTTCTAGCAGTGCTTCTAATTGTGCACAAAATCCAATTCTAGTGTCTTTTTTCACTGCTAAAGCTTCTCTGGAACCACCAGTCCCTYGCAGCAACTCTCACCTCGTGTCTTCCTCAGTAGCATAGTCTGATAAATGTATGTTTCTCTCCCATGATTCTCACCCACTGTGTCCTTTCTGTTGTAGCCCTTCTTTTCCAGAGAAGTGAACAGCTGATGTCCCCACTGCCTCTCAGTTTTCTCTAGCATTAGACTTCAGTAAATCTGCAAGTGAATTCTATTGCTGTTCTCCCATTTCTTGCCTTCTCCAATCCTCTGGTTCAAATTATGCAGTATTAGGAAAGCAATATTATGTTTTCTATGGTTTCCCCAGTTTCAGCATTCCTCACTCTTARTTCTGCATGTCAGAAAGGTCCTCAGGTGAGATTTGTTCTCTCACCCGGTTCTATTTTCCCTTGGGATAGATGCTTTCTCAAGTGTCTGTGTAGCTCTCTGCCAGGTTCTTCAGGAAATTCCCGCGGTCTTTCTGCTGGAGATTGCTTCAGGAAATCCTTAATGATGTCTAGTTTCCTAATTCTGCACTTAATAGCTCCAATTGCTGTTTTATCCTTGTATTCAGGTACAACTGGGAATCTCAACCTACTGTATTCAAAAGGTTCATGAACTTTTGACCTGCCACAGCTACGAAAGTAAATAATAAGAGTCTCAAACTAGCAGAATGATTGAGTGGAAATAGTCTTCATTTGAGGTGGAAAACATTATTAAATGATCCAGTTCTTGTTTCTTTACTAAACTGAACRGTGAAAAGTCTGTTTCATCTTTGAGCAGTTAGTAGTATTCAAAGGAACAATGTGACCTTCTAGAAAATCAAAGACTTTGCCCAACACAGGCTTGAAGTTATATTAAATTTTATTTTTGCTCTTCAAAAAATCGGTATTGTCATAAAGACTTGCTTACATCTGATTTCGTTCAGGGTCTGCCTGTTTATCATTCTAAATGCCCAATTATACMAGCACTGAGCATAGGCTTGGCTAAAATCAGTGTATGGGCTAAGCAAGCAAAAATTGGCAGCTCTGCTGATTTTCTAGGAGTTTGTGTATTATAATAGTGGTGAAAGACTTTCCTTGACGAAGATACAGAGAAATACGCTGTTTTCTCGAAGCTCCTCATCTTAAACCTTCACACCAAAGTATCTTTCATAGCAAACCACAGAAAACTTAACTTTTAAAAATGCAACCAGACTCATGAAAAAAATGAACAGACTCATGGGGGGACTTTTTTACCAGATGGTTCAGATATCATCAAGTATCTCTGATAACAATTCATCTCCATGTCTAAAATACAATTTTTGTAGGTATTTGTTTTCTGAGAGTAAGTATATGATAGAGATTTTCCCCAACACTCTTTCATTTAAACCAAATGATTACTATTCTTCAGTGCTTTCAGTTGTTAATAATATCAGTATTMATTCTGAAGCTGCATTTGGATAAGGAAAACTATAGATGGCACATCCTTGATGATTGCAGAGTCRTAGCTTTTTATGTTTCACGTTGCTAAATCCATTAACACTTTTGTAGGACAATTTATGTCAGTTGGTGAAAGAATGGGAACTGGGAAGGAGGACCCTTGGCTAGGAGCAATCTGGATGCACTCTTGAGCTCAGAAACAAACAGCCACTGCTGCTGTTTTATGGAGCCTTGCWATTGTGGAGCTCTGTAAGGCATAAGGAACAAACAGTGCTTGCTTCTATCARTCATTTCTTGATGAAAGGTTGGATATTTCTGTCAGTGAAGCCCTGATAATAACCTTATTTAAACAAGCTTTAGGTCAGACTTACGCTCTGAGTCTCTAGACTCTCATGTCTTGAAGAAATGCTATTGCTGGAAATAATTAATTTTTCTCATGAGCCAATATTGAATCCTCCTCAATCTGAAGAATTAATAATAAGGTAGGTTTTTTCCTAACCAAGAATTTGATTGAAAAAGGAACAGATTAAAATAAAGAATTTAATTTTCTATGGATTGTCATTACAAAAATTTGTAAAGAAGTTGTACATTCCTGACTGACAATAAAAGCCCTTTAGGACTTCTATTCATATCTTACAAGTTTGTAGTTATTAAATTATTATTGGCTTTAAATAAGTTTTCTGTGGGAATAACAAATGAATATTAACTGAAAATGTATGATTTTTGTTTGTTTGTTTAGGAAAGGGATTCCAATTGAACAAGTGAAACATGCTGATAGGGAGCAAGCAAAACGCATCGTTTACGCTGTGGTTTATGGAGCAGGTAGGCATTTAAAAAAAAAAAAAAAACAGCTACTGTAAATGTATACTKTATTCATAATTTATATAAGTCAACTGAATTTCTAAAGGTGTGTAAAGGTTTGTCAGAGAATTACTTTTCTAAAATCCAGSGTTATTGAATTATCTACTCAGTATAAAAATTATGATATTAATGGAACTACATTGCCATATACAAAATTATCTGATTTACTAATTATTTGCTGCTAATATAACCAAAGCATTTATCTAAAATGAGTTTTATTTTGGATGGACTTGGCATACTCTTAGTATATAGATGCAGATAAGAGTAACAGTAATGAAGTTTAAACCTCCAATATTGTCTTAATGCACATTTATTGAATTAGGGAATGGCAGAGATTGGAAGGGACCTCTGGAGGACATCAGATCCAGCCCTCCTGTTCAAGCAGGGACACCTTGAACTGTTTGCCCAGGACTGTGTCCAGCTTTTCAATGTCTTCAAGGCTGGAGAAAGGGCTYTTCAAGGCTTCACAGCCTCCCTAGGCAACCTGTTCCAGTGCTCACTCACACCCTTACAGTATAAAAGTGTTTCCTTACTTTGAGTCTTAATGTTTGCTGCCACTTCTTCACAACTGCARAAAACTTAAAAAATCCACTGTTACCCTTTCTGCCTGACCAGGTCCTGGATAAGTCAAGATGTTCTGCATACTTTCCAAAATTGCCTACTATTTCTTAAATGATGCCCAACCCTCCTTATGCTTCATACATGCTTGGAATTACATTTTCTGGGGAGAGAGATGCTTTATATCATCAGCCTACAAGCTCTGGTGAATTGGTTTCAGTGAACAGCTGGCTGACTTTCTCTACAGAGGATGAGTTCTTGAAAAACTCGTTTAGGAAATGAGAGCCCTAGGCTGCAGGCTTTATGTAAGTTGGAAACATTTAATGCTRCATCTTAGGTTCCTGGTTGTCAATGCTTTCTAAGCCATCTTTTGCACTGAGTCCTTGAACCAAAGGCAGAATCAGCCAGGGTATTCCATTTATCATTTACAGCATTCAGTTGGGAAGAAATTATTCAAATTCAGCTCTCCAGAATATCTGTTTTATGTTTAGGGGTGTGTGTAGGTTGTATACACACCTATAAGAGAGTGTGTGTGTGTCTGTATATATATATATATATATGTATATGCACATACACCTGCATTTTTATATTTAGCTGTATTGCATTTGAAACATCTGTGTTTACAATCTTTATTAAAAAAGCCCAGCCCTAGTTCCCTACACTGTAGATTCAGACCTGCCTGTGCTGAGACTGGAACCAAATCTTCAATTTCCAGCCTGAATCGTTTCATCACTGGGTTATTTTACAAAATGCCAGCATTATCACCCCTGCCCCTTGGTCCATGCAAATGCTACACATTTTTTATCTCTTCTCTTCACTGTGGGTGGAACAGGCAGATACCAGATGTAATCAGATGAATCAGCACCAGTTGAATGCCCTGTAGTTCTGYATATAGTCAGAAATGCCTCAGTTCCTGGGGCTCAGTGGAGCCTATGTATGTCTACTTGTGCTAAAGAGAACTTTCATGTTTATATTTAAGCACAGTATTGGCATTCCCTCAGTTGCTCTGAACCAGGCACTAAACATTTCAGTACTTGATTTAAGTATCTCCATTTGCTTGTTTGCTTTGTGTGTCTCTCTCTCAGACAAGGGCAGTTGAAGCACCTCAAAGATAATAAGAAGTTTCCAGTYCATTGGAAGTGTGATCAGATCCTAATTAAGACATGAAATGATATCATTAAACCATTTAAATGGAAACTRGGCTGACAAAAAGTAATTGTTAGATACCTGAAATTGATGGACTRAATTCCACCCACAGTTTGTCTCCCTTCAAAAGACAGCTCACTTTTCATTAAGGAGACATTTTGACACTACTAAAGAGTGTGAAGAATATTTCTTTTAGGATTGAAAACTACAAAAACATTCCCTGAGGAGTTWGCCTGTATTATGCTTACAGGAGCTAATAAAAGCTTTTCATGTRGTAAATAGTAATCTTTTTTCCCCTTTTTGTTTTCTTAGCTTTAGGTTACACTTGGTTCATGTTTTCAAGGTCTTTTCTGTAATTCTGGAATATAATAAAGAAAGAAGAAGGTTGGTTATTAGGAAAAAGCTTTTCACCCAGAGGATGGTTGGGCACTGGAACAGCCTCCCCAGGGAAGTTGTCACAYCCCCAATCCTGACAGAGTTCAGGAGGCATTTGGACAATGCTCTCAGGCACATGGTGTGATTCTTGGGGTGTCCTGTGCAAGGCCAGGTATTGATTTTTGTGGRTCCCTTCCAGTTCAGGRCATTCTCTGAGTGTTTTTTCTTAGTTTGGAGCAGTTCAATTCACCTGCTTTTGCCTCAGTCATCTTGAGGAACTAAAACACAGGCAACTTAAATATCTGTAAAATAAGGAATTCATTCCATTCAATGTCAGTATGTTCAARCCCTGAATTGACACAGAGGGCTATCAAAATGTTTAAATGAAAACTAGTGCTGTTTTCAGTTTTGAAAGGTGATACTGCAGAATGGAGAACACYGTGACCCATAGGCTGCTGCTAATAATTCCCCAGGGACAGATAACTCAAGAAGAATGCTCAGGGAAGGTTTAGTCTGCTCCTGGGCATTGCCTGGCATGGCCTGTGCTCCTGCATTGTGGAACATGATCTGACACATTTATTTGGCTGTGCGTTCCTCTCTTTTTGCTTCCCAGGAACTGCATTTCCCTGGGTCCTTTCAGATGTCCTTGCTAATATTGTGCTTTAATTTTATTTTATGCAATTGTTCTGTGTATTAATAGTTCTTTAAATGGAAAATGTGGATGATCTTAGATGTTACAGTTCTCKGAGGAAGCTACAGTGGTCTCCTAGTTGTTATTAGTATGTGCTTTAGGAGATAGGTTTGTCATTTGCTGACCCAGGAAGAAAACCCAAATTAATTAGATGTCAAAAAAAAAAAAAATTACAGACCGATAATAGCTCAGCAAATCGTTGTCCTGGATGTCTGTGTGAATTTCTTCCTCTAGCACCTTGTCCAGACTGGTGTTCCTGCAGCTCAGTGCAGATCCTGGCGTGACTGAGAACAAAGTGCTACAAGAATTGTTCTGAAATGCACATCAGCCTGACAGTGATGGCATTTAGGTGGCAAAAATCCTTTCTCTTTTAAAAGTGCTAGCTAACTTTTCTTGACAGTCTTACCATGACAATGACTATTCTGTGCCTTTGGTGCCTTGAGATGTCACTTCTCAGCTTATGTTCTTTGCAGACAGTGCTGCTTCTGTGTTGCTGTGCAGCTGACATAAATATATCTGTCTTTCAAACTTCATATGACTAATGTTGCTGTATGTTTTATTTTTACTGGAACTCTTTGATTTATAAGTGGGTTTAAACKGTAGTTCTTAGTTTATATTTTCACACTGGAATATCTTCAGGTTTTTTCCACCTTTTCTTATAAATGCTCTTACATCCCGCATAATATATATTGTGCACCTATATCCTATCAAAAAGCTATTAATCTTTTTTCTCTCTGTTGAAACACTTTTTTTGTTTTTTCTTTTTCCAACCCTTTTATCTCAAAACTTGGACCCCCATTTTACTGAYATTGAGGAGCCTAAGAATCTTTGAAATCTGTGGGACTCAGACTCCAAATGTCCTTTCTAAATTCAGGCTGAACTCTAAAGGATCTAGCTAAACTCAAGCTCAAACATCTCCATCCATTTTTAGGTCTTCATTATATTTGTGTTTGTTTCAAATCTTTATCTGTTCTTCAAAGTTCGGAAATATCAACACTGAACTAGTAAAATTATGCTTAAATGAACACCATTGCTCTCTGAACAAAAGAGAGTTCAACTACATTATAGGGATAAATTATARCTAGGAATTTCTTAATTGCATATTTCCTATATACTTACTAATTATATACTTATTCCAGTAACTTCAGTAAAACATTCAAGCTCAGAATTAAATATTTATTTTGTTGCAATATGATTTTAGTGTATCAGATACATCCTCTTTCACAGAAGTAAGTAAAGTTAACTAATTCCACTAATTAGGCATGTAACAGTGCTATTGTATGTAGTGGTTTTCTGTTCTGATTTATTTCATAATAGAGATAATTTCTGTACCACCAGGTAAAGAACGTCTTGCTGACTGTTTGGGAATTACTCCTGCTCAAGCCAGTCAATTTATAGAGAGTTTTATGCAAAAATACAAGAAAGTACATGAATTTACAAAGAAAACCATTGAACAGTGCCGAAATAAAGGTAATCCAAAGTCTATGACCTTATTATGTTTACTGATCAGCCCTCTGTGACAGTGGTGTAGACAGAGAYTCAGCTTGACCCAAATTCAGATAGCTACAGGACAACAAAAATAGATGGAATGTCCTTTCTTGGTGATTGAGGTTTGGTTTTTTTTTTCTTTTTTTAAACCTAAAAGGAGCTGGTTAAGTCTGTCTGACTTTTCTCAGAAAGATACTAACAGAATAAGACATCTGTTCTCAGAGTGAGCCCCACTTAATGTCAAGTTGCAYTGCATCATTTTGACATATAATGTACTCCAACACAAGGAAAAGCCCAAGGAATCTTCTGCTTAATAAATTGGGTACATGGCTGCTGGACCATGGAAGTTCAGTCAATTACACAGCCAATTTTTTTTCTTTGCATCCATCAGAATTCATGTTCTTGAAGTTCAGGTGGTAGCTGTGATGACAGATGTGTGCAGAGTGCTTCTGGAGCCAGCAGCTGCAAACTCTTCTTGCATCAAATTTGTTGTTAGTCTACATATTCATTTATATTTAGTGAATCCTAGGAGTGCAGTAATTTGAGGAGAGAAAACATAGCTGCTTGAAATATTGTCTTTTAAAAACTGATTAGCAAAACTATMAAAACTGAGTTCTTTTGTTTCTTAATAGGGCATGCAGTACTAAGGCATTTTTTAGAAATAAACAGYAAATTTGCAATATAATATTACCCATCACTGTATGAGTCAGAAACATATAATTGACTTCTAGTCATGAAAATGGGTCGTATTCATTTTTTGTACTTTGTAGGACCTAAAAATCTGTTGTAAATGTGAACTGTCATTGTGTCACACAATTGCATTCCTTTGTTAATGTTACTTAAGAAAAGTGAGGTTATTTGACATCCATTTTTAGCTGTAATTAAGCCCAATGTAACAGACCAAGTAAAATRTTACAGATTTATTATATATTTATGATCTATTTAAATAAATTAGCATTCTTTTCTTAAAAGTGAATGAATTTCAGTAAACAGATTTCTGTGGTAGAGAATCTGGTTCATGAGTTCAGTAGACAAGAATGTCATGACTAATCTTCTGAAGTCATTGGAGCACATTTGTCTAATTACTTCTCAGTCCTTGCGCTCCTGTCTATCAACCATTTTTAACCATTGATGGTAGAAGAGCAATCTGTTTAGATTGTACAAGCTCTAGAAATCTGCAGCAGATCAAAATTATTTAATATTTTCCTTGCTAATCCACATCGGATTCTAACTTTCCAACAAAAACATTCCAGCCTATTGAGCTCATTATAAGGTAATTTTTCTTTACTTATCTGCAGTTCAAAGGTGAGCAGGACTCCTGGACTATTATTATTTAGGTGTTATGAATGTCTGATACTCCATGTAGACATGAGAAGCATATAAATAATTATTTTATGAGGAAGATATTTGTTAGTGTATATATTATTATATTGCTGTAATAATTTCATTAAATATGAATTATTGCTAATAATTCATATTTAATGGCATTATTGACATGCAAAAGACTGCATTAAGGCCTCATTCAGGCATGCCTTTGGAGATTAATCATTGACCCCAGGCACCTACTCTGCCATTCTGTTATGTGAATGATGGTGTTTGATGGGGATGCTGCTCAGTTGTGAGTATTGCRGGGATGATTCTCTTGTGGAGTCCTCACAGGAATAAGGATATTACAGCAAATCTAATTTTAACTAAGAATACAGTGTTTCAAGAATTCCAGCTTTAAATACTATTTTTCATGGGAAATGTTAGTTAATTTGGGAAGACTGATTTGCCAGGGAATATCCTTGCTTCCAGATGTTTCAATTCCTTATTTCAAACTGAAACTTTTGGTATCAGCATTCTTGGAAATTCACTAATTCACAAAAAGCTCAAGTAATCCATCCTCTGCACATGAGTCTGGGTATGTATTGTCCATAACAAGGTGATAATTTTTGATTGAAGAAGTTTCTTCGCCACTTGTGCTTGCATAACAGGGGAGATGAAACTGTCAGCTGAAGTCTGAACTTCCATGGTATCTGATGACAGTTYATGGGTAGTCAAGGTGATCAGAAGTATAAAGAAAGATTTTTTCAAGGTGTATTTTTAACATGGATGATTTTTAATTTTTCTTAAAATAAGAATAGAAGTTTATTTTTGAAGATAAGCTAAGTTTTGCGTGTGTTATTTTGACAAGAGGATCCTCACATCTCTTTTCCTCTCTCAACTCCTCTCACTTGCCTTCCAAAATAATGCTTTTTTAGCAAAATACGTCATTAGGCCTAACATAAAGCTGTAACTGTGTTTTAATGTTTCTTTTAAATTTAAAAAATCCCACCACACTAGAGTTAAAGTTTAGCTGTGAAAGGAACACAGAAATAGTATATTAAAAAAATGGAAAAAACCCACCATTTTTTTATCCCTAAAAAACTATTTTCTTTTTTTTGGAAATATTCATTACTGATTTAATTACTCTACAAATTGATTTTTCTTTACTATTCCCAAGTAAACTCTTCATTGTGTGGAAAGCTCTAATTATGGTTGATAATAGATAGCTAATTCTGCTAGGTATTTATAGTTTCATCTCCCACAGAGAGAGTTTGCTGGTTTATCAGTAGACATTCCTAATGAAAATTTAACAGCTCTAAAGAACAGAAGTTTTTTTTTGTATAATGTGTACCAGTTCTCTGAATAAAATAATTCTTAAACCAAAAATACAGTAAGCATTTAATATTTAAATAAGCTCTGACTATTTTCAGAGGACAAAATATTAAATTGGCTCAGGCATCACATAATTACAATTACCTGCATTGTCTTCAAAAAGAATTTTTGAAATTTAATTGTAGTCACTCTGTGTCACGTAATACTAATTTTTTATTTAAATCCTACAAGGTTACGTGGTTTCCATAATGGGACGCAAAAGGCCACTGGCCAATATCAACGCACAGGATTACAAGCAACGCACTCAAGCAGAGAGACAGGCTGTCAATTTTGTTGTTCAAGGTAAGGAGCTGCCTCCCTACCTYACTGTCTACCTACCTGTACCTCTGCTTGGCTTTAGTGGGCAACAACTCTGATAATCTCAAAAGAATGAATATTCTAGTAGTCTACTGGAGTAGGCGTGAGTTTTACTGTGAAAAAGAAGTTAAAATTATATATTCTATCTGCCTTGGAAATTGCCAGTAAACAGAATAATATAATGATGATATTAATAACAACAGTATAAATGTTCTAATACACTGGAGTYCTCTGTGATAGTTAAATGTAAGTATTGATACAAACTATGTATAGAGAGAATACCTAGAATTCAGTTTTTCAGATGCAYTGTTTTTTTGAACACTTTCCCGTCTAGGTTTTATAGTTAGTTACTTTTTATAGTTAGTTACTCCAGAAGGGTTTCAAGCATTAGGCTTCTTAGAGATTCTAGCCTTTATTTTGTCAGGTAGCTTTACCTTAAGAAATAGAGAATGTTACAGTAATTGTGCATTGTTATTATTTATTTTAAAATGCAGCTCATTCTTTGCAAAAACTTTCAAACTTAATTCTGTGGAGGATAAGAAAAAAGGTGGTTTTTTTTCCACAACAAAAACACTAACATATAGATTGGAAATGAATAAGTCAGCATTATGTGCTCACATGTTAGTTAATCTGATGCGTTAACATTCTCTGTTTAAGTCACTTGGGGTTCAGGTGTGTACAAAATTTAGCTGCCCAAAGGAAAAAAAACCTGAACTGTCAGCCCAAGACTGAGATCCCTTCKATCAAGCTGTCCCTTGGAATCGTTTTTTTTTTTTTTTGTTGGATGACGCTGACAGGGTTTTCTTTAAGTTATACTGGAAGTGTGCAATTTACAGGCAAGGAAKAAGTGCTTTCTAGACATGGTGAGGGGATTCTCCTTATAAAGTGATTTGAATTTTCCTTTTGAAAATATAATTTTCCTCTTCAAATATTACTAATTTTAATGTTTCATTTTTTAAATTACTTAAATATTTATATCATGTTAGACACTCCTGAAGTTCTGTCGCTACAAAGATACCTACAGATTTARAATTCTAATTCCAATTGTAATTCTCATTTGGTGAGTCCTTCAGAGCACACAGTGTAGCATTAATAAAGAGACACAGTGCCCTCTGAGCAGCACTTGTAATGTCCATCTGTCCTAAGAGCTGGAGCAAGGCTCACAGGACTGTCTATGAAACTCTCACTTCTATGTACCTGCAATAATTAGATTGCCAGATCTCACTGTGAGTTCACAAAATGTAATATTAGAAGGTGTGGTGAAGCAAGGATTGAAACCTCTAAAATATTCAGTATCCTCAAATTTTATAAGAAACTTCGTTCTAGACTACAATGATTTTTTAATTTTAAGATTTCAGCCATGAGATAATATTTTAAGACTGTACAAACTTTCTAAACTATGATAAAACCTTTTATCACTTTTAGTGTACTAAACTGCATTTAATATGTGTTTTACAGTTATATCTAATAGTGTAATTAATTTAAGTAGTTTACATTTTGATTACTGTAGCAGCGACTGATAGCAGAAGACTTCAGGTGCATGACAATACTGAGAGAAATGTAGAATTGCAGCTTTTATGTACTACAGCTGGGTTTCTCACACTTCTTTTGTAGTGTTTTTTCTCTTTTTGAATATTTCCCAGTTCAATAGTTTTCACCAAYGTACAGCATATTATTCTTCAGTTATAATTCAGCTCTACCTATCCCCATAGACCAAACAGCTCATTTTATCTTTAATTATTTATTTATAATTATTGTCTTTATAAAAWGACATATAAAAAGTTTAAAAGACAATATAAAAAGTTTAAAATAGCATATCTCTAAAAATCATATCTCAGTAAAAAATATTKTGAGAAGTCTTTCATATTTTATTACTCTATATTGTTTCATGAAGAGTATAGCTAGAACATATATTTTGTGATGAACTAAATGCTCAATATGGTTTTATTCTCACAATCACTAAAATGTTCACCTGACCTTGGCTGAAACATCCTTTCTTACTTTTTATATCAGTTATCTCTTTCTGTAAAGTGTTGAATAATTTGATACATCATTTGAACAACAAAACAAGATGAGTATTTGAGGCTAAACCTGCAATCAGGCATTGCCATCTTGATCATCAGCTGTGGGTCTGCACATGGTACAGTGAATGAGTAAAACAGAGTCTTAGCATGGGATTCAGAGGAGGCAGTTTGTAATTGGAAACTGTGGAGAAAGAAGAGATGTTAGGTCTTTGTCCTTGTTCTCTTCGATATTCTCCCCAGCCAAAAGGGCCAACTGTATCCTGGGGAACATCAGGCACAACATCACTGGACAGTCAAGGGAGGGGATTGTCCTACTCTGCTYTGCACTGGTGCAGCTTCACCTCGAGTCCTGTGTGCAGTTTTGGGTGCCTCAATATAAGAAGGACATCAAACAATCAGACTGTGTCCAGAGGAGAGTGACCAAGATGCTAAAATGCCTTGAGGTTGAGGCTTGGGGGCATCTGAGGTCCCTTGTTCTGTTTAGCCTGGAGAAGAGAAGGCTGGGGGGTGACCTCACAGTCACAGAGATCATGGTCTACAGGTTCCTCCAGGGGGGCAGTGGAGAGGGGAATGCTGATCWCCTTTCTCTWGTGACAGCTGTAGGACCTGAGGGRTTGGCATGAAGCYRTGTYGGGGAGGTTTAGKTTGGATATTAGGAAAAGGTTCTTCACCCAGAGGGTGTTTGGGCCCTGGAACAGGCTCCCCAGGGCAGTGGTCACAGCACCAAGCCTGGCAGAGTTCAAGGAGTGTTTGGATGCTCTTGGTCATGAGGTTCGGATTTAGTCCTGCAAGGAGGAGGGAGCAGGGAATTGGACTTGATGATCCTTTTGGTCCCTTCCCACTGGAGATGCTCTGTGATTCTCTGATTACCTCTCAGCTGAGTATTTATTATCATTTTGCTGCCTTGCTGTTCTTTGCCCCTACTCTGAAAGCCAAATCATTTGGAAGAAAGAATTCAGAATTCATTGAGTTACAGGGTTGCAAAAAGGACCATGTCTTTGATCTAGGACATTTAGGATATCTAATGGGAGAAGGAAGATTATGGTATCCAATCTTTACTTGAAGGTTTGTTTCTATATTTTATCTGATAAATCTTTTGTGTAAAATGTTTGGTTCAGAACAAAGCCCTTCACCAAAYTTAGGTCTGGAGAGCCATTCTGCCTCTTGATCACCAGAAGTGTGTCATCTATGCTGTACCATGACACTGTTTTATGCACCACTACTCTTAGCACTGTAATGTAATGAATATACGTTACATACACAKGGAAATATGAAGAAGTGCAAAATTAGGGCTCCAAATTGAAATGCAGCACTGAAACCATGTTCTGACCTTTTGTGACAGTAAATTTTAATTGATTAATAGGTAAATTTTAATTAAAGGTTAGAGTTAGATAATTTCATACTTTTTTATAGAAAACAATTTTTCAACCTGTAGTAATGACTGAAAAATTCACCTATAATTAACACATAATTACATATTGTTATTTTCTAGTTTTAATTAATGTAATTATTTCCTCTGTTATTTATTAACCTTATAATCTGTTTCACAAATTACATTAATTGGATCTACTAGTTTTGAAAATTCTTATAATTCAGAATCTTCAGATTGTTTTGTTCCTATGTCAAAGTTCCAAGAAGAGTTTTCTTTTGCATGCTTTAAATTCAAAACTGATCACTTTCTTTTGTAGGTTCTGCAGCTGATCTTTGTAAAATGGCTATGGTGAAGATTTTTGCCTCTGTTGTCAGTTCTCCAACTTTAACAGCCAGGTTAGTAATGAATGACTGCAAAACYRTTTGGTTTTAAGACAAAATTGCTTTAAATGAATGTTTCTGGCGTTTTAAGCAACTCTAGAAATACCATGTGTACTTCTGAATCTTTTAACGAGGGASGGCATGTGGAATGGTTTTATACATTTAAAGTTGTGTCTTTGTGCTTCAGTGGTTGGATCTATAAATGCATCCCACAGTGTTGAAGTGCCCTGGGGTCATTTAAACTCGGTCAGATCTAATTCAGTGGTAGTTCTACACCTTTGAAATCAAGTTCACTGATCATATCCTTCCTGTATTTTGAGTGTATTGTACAGTAGGAATTGAACATTCAATGGGCTGGGAAAAAAAACAGGAATCAGGAAACCAGTGCTCAAGCAAAAGAAATGAACATTTTTTTATTCTTGTATAGATGACTTTAAAGAAAAGCTTGGTCATCATGATTCTCTTCTGTTGTGACTGCTCCGAGTTAGGTGGAAGATAACAGAATGTCCTCAAAGAGCTTGATGCCAGTAGCAGAAATAATGAAGTGTACTTTTCCTGTGGAGAAGTTGGTCCAGACAGCCACTGAGCATTATTATTTGCTGCAATAAAAAGAGACTTTGAAGGCAAACATGTAGAAAAAACCCAAATAACTGCTTTCTCATCTTTGGTAATGCTGTAGCAAATGATCCAGTAGAACATGAATTGGTGCAGTAGAAGTTCAGACAAAAGCAGAGATAGAAAGTAGTGCAGAACATCAGTGTTTCTGTTGTCATCTAGAAAGGGTCATAATAACTGAGCTGTAGCAATCATGTCTTAAGGGCTTCTGTGGGTGTTTAGCTCAGTACAGAGAAATAGGGTTTAGCCTTCCAAATATACTTGGCAATTATGGCTATTATCTATAAATAATCTCTGTGTGTTTGTGTGTGTGTCATTTACACACAGCAGTGTTGTCTTATTTAATCGATGTTTGAAAATATGATTTCTAATTACAAATACAAATTCCAGTTGTTCAATTCAAAGTTTGACTCATTCCTGTGCTAATAATAAAACAACTTCTGAGTGACTGTTAAATGTTCTTGAAACTTTTAAAGCAAAATACAATTGAACTGTTTTATTTTTTAATTTTCTGTTACCAGAAAAAAAAGTGAGTTGCCCACTAAATCTGAAAAGGAAAGTGGTTCTTTGGTGAAGATCCTGCCTGCATTCAGATAATGATACATTTATGTATTAAATGTTGGATGATGCACTATCCCATATTGCATTGTATACTTTCAGATAGATTGTCTGCACTGATTATAATTCTTTATGCTACCTGAGTTGAATGAAGAGCCCAGAATCTGTCAGCTGTGGCATGGGTGAAAATTTCTGCAGCAGCAGCAGTCATAACTCTGAGTTAGATGAGTGATAGAGGAGCAGCCAGCAGCTTTTAATGGAGGGGGCAAGTGGAGGTGGTGAGAGGGCAAAGAACATACTCCCTTCTGTAGTTCCTGCCTGGCACACAGATGTTTAGGTTCAGTAACTGGCTGTTCGTTGTTATTCTGAAAAATCCAAAGTTTTTTGCTACTAATGTCATGTGCGATAAAGCTCATGAACATTTTCTTATCTCAACAGAAAATTTTACTTGGGTTTATCTTTCTCAAAATGAATTCTTTTAAAGAAGTAATGTCACCAAATGGCTAAGGATGTAACAGACTTGGGGAAGTACTGGAGTTGTACATGTTGAAATTCCTTTGCTCTGAAAGAAAAGGGAAATGATTACTCCAGACAACTGAAAAGTATCACTGCCTATCCTGCTTGTTCCTATCATAAATGTCACAGCTTTGGGAAAGACCAACACTGCAAGGGCATTTTAAAATGATAGACAGTTTTAAACAGGAATTTTGAACTTCTGCCAGCAATTAACAACTGGATGGCTTTGCTAGAGGAGAGTATTTTTATAGTCAATAATGGCTCCTTCCTGTAATATTTAGTAGGTACTTACAGGCCAGGCTTGTCAGAAGAGTACAATCGATGCCTTAGTAAATTCTGTGAACAATCCCCTGCTTGGACAGTGGCATTTGAAAGCATCAGAGAAATCTTGCCAAAAGAATATGGGGCTGAAACTTGAAATACCTTGTTTCTGCTTGTCTGCCAGGTGACATTCAGTTATTTTTTCAGTGGTTTGTTTCTTGGTTTTCTTATCAGGCAGGTCAGAATAATGATCCTAACATCTTTCATAAAGCCTTTTGAAAAAAATTGTTGAAAGGAAGCATGTACATAATTGGTGCTCTTGTAACAATGGGAATGCACAGTATGTTTTCCAAAATTAGGAATATAATCAATCTTGTATTATCACCCCATCAGATCATATTCATTGCAAAGATAGCACACTACTATCTTTTCTTCTATCTTCATCCTCTTGTAAGTATCTTTATTTCCCTATTAGAATTTCTAATTTTGGAAACAGGGTTTTCACTTTGAACAGCATATCAAAGAGAAATATCATGCTTTAGAAGTGATTATGAACATTTACACTGGGAGACAGTATCCTATTAAGCCAAGTTTTGGCTAACGCTCAATGTTTTGTCTTCCTTATCTTGGAAATAAAGAAAAAAWAATTCTAAATAAGGTCTTGCAGTTTTTAGTGTTATTTCACAGGTATGTTTTCAGTCTTCACTAACAACACTGCATTCATTGTTCCTTCACTGGAGGCAGTTCAGCTGTGATCAGGCTTTGACCCAACAGTGTGAAGCTTCATTTTTGTGTGACTAGAAGTCAGTAGGTTTTGAATTATTGTTTGCACATATGATACTGTATTTGGAAGTCAGGGAAGGTAATCAGGATACATTTTCATGATGCTTCATCAGAGAGGCATTCTTGATGAAACAGTATATTCCCCTGTGACTGATCAATTCTGTCAACTAGCAGTCTCATTTTTGCCTTTGTGTTTCTTCATCTTTTAATTCAAATACCAGCCTAGCAGATAATGCAGTGGACAGTAAGAAGTCAATCAGTTTGGATTTGAATGAATTTGGAAGTAATTTTACAGAAATCAGGAAAAGTAGCATTAAATGTAATACATATGATACAGMTCTAATATTAGTACAGATTGGCTACTGGCATCAGTTTAATATGGCTGCATTTTGTGTGGTCCTGACAAGTAATCAAAATTTTTCAGACTTCTTCTGTATTGCCTAGATCTTTCTTAAAATGTTGTTCTGCTGCTGCTGGCCAAGTTGCCCACTGAAAATGTGCTGCTGACATAAATTATTTAAGTGCCAGCTTTTACCTGTCTGATGCAATCCACAAAACCTCCACACGATGTTCCCTGCAGGCAGATGATAGCAGAGAAACTTCTGAAGTGAGATCAAGGCATACAGTAATAGCTGAAAGAAAAATTTATGGAACTGATGAGAGTGCAAAGGTACTCAGTGAACTCAGATGTAGTTCTTTTCAGTGTTTAAAACATCACTGCAGTGACAGTCACATGGAAACTTGGTGAGAAAGAAGGATGTTGATAAATAGAGGAAGAATTGCTGCCTATAGCAATTGTACATAATACTTGTACATACTATCATTTGTAAGCTGAAGAAGCACTGATGTTACCCAAAGCCTACCTGATACTACATGAACTTCTCAAAAAGTCATTAAAAATGATAATATCTCAACAACATGCACATTGATTTTAASAGGTCTGCTGAACTGTTGAGCAATTTGTTGTGAATTCACCAATTCTGCTTTTGCACCAATTTAGTATTCCTTCAGCACTGTGCCACAAACAYACAGCTTTACTTCTCAACATGTCTGGAGCCTAGTTAAAAAGACAGGTTCAGCCAAAGACCAAATATAAATGAGTGATCTGAAAAGGAGAAGCCAACCAGCAAATGAATGCAAAAGGTTATTTCCTTGGTCTCAGCTTTTCAATAGCAGTGGATGTTGGACTTTTGTATTTCTTCCTCAAGGAGCAAACACCATAACCAGCTTAATGATTTTCTCTGCTGGTGAGTTGTAAATGCATTTCATGTCTACAGATAGCTAAATTAGATAACTATGAAAAATTAGTTAGAAACTGTGTTATTGTCCCAGAAACAAGCATTTTGTTATRTCACCTAGATATTTTCAGATACAAGTCACATGATAAATCACAAATTATCAATTTCTTGGAAGTGGCTTSAGTTTTGGTACAACGCAAGAATCTAGAGGCATTTTTATAAGCTGTGTGGGGACTCAGTCATTGTTACTTTATAGACTGTAATCTCTCAGATTCATACAAGAGAACATACTAATGAACCCAGCTTCTTGACTGCATCATAGTTACAAAGAAATACATTGAGTAAAATGCTTAGGCTGCTGCTATGTGTGTCGATTTTCTTTAATTCTGGGCATAAATCTTATGTCCCTTTATCTGTTTCTTCATAAGTTAAGGAACTGTTTTTATTCATGTTTCTTCTCTAGCAGTTAACCAGGGTTTTCAAATAAATGCTTTTTGCTGTGGTATTCTGCCCACAGTTCCCACACTGTATATGCACAAAATTCCCAACCCCAATTGCTGGATTAACTCTAGCAAAATGGTGRACACTTAACCTAATACTGGAGAAACTGAACCACATGGAAAAGATAAATTTTGGATTCTGCTTCAGAGAATAAGACTATTGTTTCACAGAGAAATGCTTTTGTTTCTGTAGCAGAAGGAATCTTCCCAGGTCATATTGCACYCTCCAATGCTGTTGTCCAATGTGTAGCTCTTTGCCTCCCAAAGAAGCCAAATAACATTGAATTTCTAGACAAGCTGTAACTTAGAAAAATCATCACTTTCCTCAAGCAGCCAGAGCAGTATTTTGCGAATATCCACAAGATGGTGAGCTGTTACCTGAACACTTCATGCTCAGTGAGCCAGAGCAAGTCAGAGTAATTTATTCTTTATAGAAGGAGCTAAGTATATTTAATGTGTTGAAATATCACAGCCAAACAGGGCATGCATGATGTAGYGGGTTTTTCACTGTTCCTTTATGTAAAACATTCAACACAAATAAATA